AGTAGAGACGGGGTTTCACCATGTTGACCAGGATGGTCTCGATCTCTTGACCTCGTGATCCACCCGCCTCGGCCTCCCAAAGTGCTGGGATTACAGGCTTGAGCCACCGCGCCCGGCCTTCTCCACATTTGTTAAGGAGATGTTTATGCCACTGATTTGTGGTTCATCAATGTTACCACAGAGCCCTTCTCTGTTGACTACCTGGGAGGCGGAGGTTGCAGAAAGCCGAGATTGTGCCACTGCACTCCAGCCTGGGCAACACAGTGAAACTCCATCTCTAAATAGATAAATAAATAATATAATATAATGTAATATAATATAATATAATATAATATAATGGAAGAGGAAGAAAGATGACAGATTTTTCTTTCTCTCTCTACCAAATGAGGACACGGCAAGAAAGCGGCCATCTGCGAGCCGGCAAGAAACCTCTCACCAGGAAAGCAAACCACCCAGATTCTTGCTCTTGGATTTACCAGCCTCCAGAACTGTAAGAAAAGAAATTCCTGTTGTGTAAGCCAGGAATTTAATTCCTGCAGGCAGAAGCCAGCCCTGGCTTGCTCTCTGGCCAGAGTCACCTGGCACCCACCTACCGCCATCCTGTCTGCCCCACACTGGAGGACTGGCTTCCTTCACCTTATTCCCTGCTTTGTCTTTTTAAATTTTTCTTTTTTACAAATGAGATCTCACTCTGTCACCCAGGCTGGAGTATGGCTGTGCAATCACAGCTCCCCACAGTCTCAGCCTCCTGGGCTCAAGCAATTCTCCCGCCTCAGCCTCCTGAGTAGCTGGGATTATAGGCACGCAACACCATGTCCCGCTGATATTTTTATTTTTTGTAGAGTCAAGGTCTCACTATGTTGCCCAGACTAGTCTTGAACTCCTGGCCTCAAGTGATCCTCCTGCCTCAGCCTCCCAAAACGGTGTGAGCCACCGAGTCTGGCCTTTTCTTTATTCCTTGAGGCAGCCCTGCCTCCTCTTTCTACTCCCCTGTCCCAAATGATCAGAGACCCTAGGATAAGAACCACAGTGCTTTACTTTTCATCTGAACAGAGGAGATAACTTGAGGGACAGCCCCCAGGCACCAGGCAGCCTTCGGGGTGGGCAGGGTTAGGGGAGGTAGGAGACTCGGAACCAGCAGCCCCGGCTCCAGCTCCATCGTCTGTGTCTTCCCTCTCCGACTGGGCTCTTCGAGGGGATGCAGGAGGCTGGGCACGGTGAACCGACAGGGGGCTCGGTCTCAGGGTGCCCAGCGGGTTGTCGGCCCCTGCTTCCGATGGACTCACCTGCAATAATTCCGGCATAACTGGGACAACTGCCTGCACTTGCCACCTGTGGGTGAAGGAAATGGTTCAGTCACAAGCTGGAGCTATATTGATTCTTGTGTGTTCTGGGGCTGGGGAACCAGGTCGATCAACCCTGCCCCTTGGGAGCTCAAAGGCAACTCCATAAATGGTGATGGAGAAACATGCCGAGAACAGCCGGTGTTGGGTTCCTGCGAGAGGCGCTTCCCACACTGGAACACAGATGAGCCCTTTGGAAACTCTTGTTATTTTGTATGTCACTTACTCATTCAGCATGCATTTATTGTGCACCTACTATGTGCCAGGCACCGATTCAAGCGCTAAGAACACAGTTGAGGACAAAGAAAAAAAATCCCTGCCCTGGTAGAGTTGTCTTTCTAGGAGGAAAGACCAACAAGGAGAAAACTAACACAGTCAAATGTACAAAGGTGCTAAGTGGGATGGTGTTAAGTCCTACGAGGGGAAATAGGGCCAGGAGGAGGCACGGAGGCCCAGGAGCTGGCCTTATCCTCACAGGGATGGCTCCTGGGGCTTCAATAAGGAGATAACTTTTTTTTTTTTTTTGAGGCAGTCTTGCTGTGTCGCCCAGGCTGGAGTGCAGTGGCACAATCTCGACTCAGTGCAACCTCTACCTCCTGGGTTCAAGCGATTCTAATGCCTCAGCCTCCCGAGTAGCTGGAATGACAGGCACGTGCCACCACGTCCAGCTAATGTTTGTATTTTTAGTAGAGATGGGATTTAACCAGGTTGGCCAGCTGGCATCGAACTCCTGGCCTCAAGGGATCCACCTGCCTCAACCTCCTAAACGGCTGGGATTACAGGCATGAGCCACTGTACCCTGCCAAGAAGGTGACATTTGAGCAAAGGCCTGAAGATGGTAAGGGAGACAGCTGGAGGAAGGGCGTTACAGGCAGAGGGAAGAGCAGTGCAAAGGCCTTGAGGTAGGAGGACACAGATGGGCTCCAGAGACCCATCTGTGGTTGGTCCAAAGTGGGCAGGAGGGGGGACCTTAGAAGCCAAGGGGACAGCGGGTTCAGTGGCTCGTGCCTATAATCCCAGCACTTTGGGAGGCTGAGGCGTGAGGATCACAAGGTCAGGAGTTTGAGACCAGCCTGGCCAATACGTTGAAACCCCATCTCTACTAAAAATACAAAAATTAGCCGAGCATGGTGGTGGTGGGTGCCTGTAGTCCCAGCTACTCAGGAGGCTAAGGCAGGAGAATAGCCTGAACCTGGGAAGTGGAGGTTGGAGTGAGCTGAGATCGTGCCATTGCATTCAAGCCTGGGCAACATAGTAAGACTCTGTCTCAAAAAAAAAAAAAAAAAAAAGAAGAAAAACCTGCCGCCCTTGCCTCCTCCACCCCCTCGGTTCTCAGGCCCCGTCTCCTTCTACGCTGCCCCAGCCTACTCTGTCCTGGCTGCTTCGCCTCCTCCGCTGCTATTGCCATGTGCTCAGCTCATTCCTGCTTCCAGGGCTTGGCACTGGCTGCCCTCTCTACCTGGCGATTCATCTTCTCACCATCAGGAATCAATTCCAATTTCACCACTCCAGGGAGAGCTTCTCTTACCACCCCTCTCTTCCCAGTCACTCTGCTTTATTTGGCAAATATCTTCCTCTGTGTCCACTCATTCATCGTTTATTTGCTTATCACCTTCTCCCACCCAGATGTGATGTCCTGAGGACAGGGACCAGGGCTGCCTGTCACCACCATGCCCCCAGCATCACCCAGCAGAGGCTTGGCACAGAGTAGGTACCCACAAATATTTGCTGTTGGAAAAATACTTGGCCCCAGAGCTAATGTTCAGGCTCTGCTCTCACACAAACCTGGGTCCAATCCTTCACTGATTCTTTTTTTTTTTTTGAGACAGAGTCTTGCCCTGTCACCCAGGCTGGAGTGCAGCGGCGTGATCTCAGCTCAGTGCAACCTCCACCTCCCAAGTTCAAGTGATTCTCCTGCCTCAGCCTCCCGAGTAGCTGGAATTAAAGGCACTCGCCACCACATCCAGCTAATTTTTTTGTATTTTTAGTAGAGACAGGGTTTCACCGTGTTGACCAGAATGGTCTCAATCTGCTGATCTTGTGATCTGCTGGCCTTGGCCTCCCAAAGTGCTGGGGTTATAGGCATGAGCCACTGTGCCCGGCCAGATAAATTTTTTTAATTAAAAAAAAAAAAGAGGCCGGGCATTGTGGCTCACCCTGTAATCCCAGCACTCAGCAATTTGGGAGGCCAAGGTGGGTAGATCACAAGGTCAGGAGTTCAAGACCAGGCTGACCAACACAGTGACACGCCGTCTCTACTAAAAATATAAAAAAATTAGCTGAGTGTGGTGGCTCATGCTCATAATCCCAGCTACTCAGATGGCTGAGGCAGGAGAATCGCTTGAACCTGGGAGGCGGAGGTTGTAGTGAGCCAATATCGCACCATTTCACTCCAGCCTGGGCAAAAGAGTGAGACTTCATCTCAAAAAAATATATATTTTTGTAGAGACAGGGTCTTGCTATTTTGCCCAGGATAGTCTTGAAGTCCTGGGCTCAAGCCATCCTCCCACCTTAGCCTCCCAAAGTGCTGGGATTACAGGAGTGAGCCACCATGCCTTGCCAGCGAATGAATTCACTGACTCTTATGTGCTGTGTGACTTTAGGCAAACTCCTTAACTCTCCAAGCCTTAACTTACCCACTGGGGTGAGAATAGGGCCTGGCACAAAGTCAGGATCAACACACACATGTTTCATGACTGAGGCAACAGTGCCTGACTCTCAGATTCAGTGAGGATCAGACACACAGTAGGAATCATATTTTATGGTTATTAGAATTCTGCCTCTTCCCTTAACGCAGCAAAAAAAAAAAAGTAGCTATGCTCATTTTCTTGATGAGGAAGTTGGACAAGAGGTAATGAAACTTGGCATCAGTTATACAGATTAACTGACAGCTTGTGTTTTATTTCAACCACAACATTTTTTAAACCTTTAAAAAAAAATTAGTTTCTCTGCTTGTTATTCTGCCTTCCCCCCACAGCTTCCCCTCCCTGCATTGGGCTGTGGGGCCCTTGCCCTCTAGTTCAGCATCGGCAGGGGACAGGGGGGTGGGAGGAGAGGGAGGTTTAGGTATCTGATCCCCACAGCCCCTGCTCCCTTCTGGTTTGGTCACCAGTGAGGCAGTGGCTGGAACCCTCTTTCTGAGGCCACAGCTCCTTCCAGCGGCCCCAGCTCCAGTTCCATCTCTCGCCAGGCCCCCTGCAAAGCCAGTGCCTCCTCTCGCCCCTCAGGCTGGGGGATACCAGATCCCCATCCTTGCTAGTCATAGGACACTGCACCACCTAATTACCCTGCCTGTACCTCCCGAGACATCACTCTATTAAATGTTCTCCAGTTAACCCTTTGCAGGTCCTTCTGCCACCTGCCATGACCCTAATCGACACAGCTGTCAACATTTGAGTACCAAAAGATTTTACAGAAACATTAAGCTCTTAAAAAGAGTAGTTACTCTGACTGCTCCAAGCCCCTTTCTTGCTAGATTGAGTGGGTGGGGTTGTTCCATGAGGCATCTAATCCTCAGTTGTCTCCTCCCCACACATCCTTATTCAGCCCTTGTTCCCTGGCAGGCCTGGGTGCAGTGAGTTTGTGACTGCTGGGGTGGTATGCTGACTGTCAAACCGCCCTTAGTCTCTACTCCTCCCTGTCAGTATCCACGTCCCTTGCCATGTGACTTGTCTGTCTTCCCATCAAGAGGGGGAGTCTATTTCCTTGAATGAAGCCTGGCCTCATGACTTGCTTTGACCTATGGAATGAGGCAGAAGGGATAATGGCCAGTTCTGAGCCTGAATGCATTCACTTTCTCTCTCTCTTAGACCCCCGCTGCCACCACCACCATGTGAACAAGTCCAGGCTAGCTTAGTGAAAGATAAGATGATGCAGCAAAGAGCCAAAGTGCTCCAGAAAGTTTCCTGCTGACGCACAAATGAACTCAGATGCAAGAGTAAATCCAGTTGCAAACAGAAGAACCACCCAGCTGAGCCCAGCCTACATTTCCAAACTGTGGTCTTGAGAGCTCAGTAAATGGTCATCATTTTAAACCACTGAATTCTGTGGTGGTTTGTATGGATACCCAGCTAATAGATACCTCATTTAAAACAAAATTGCCCAGAGGCCTTTGAGAACCCAGCCCTCAGTCATAGTGCAAGCCATCCTCTCCCGGTCTTGGTGCCCTTCCCACCCAACTCCAGTTCTCACTGGTGAGGATGATGATGCCTGTGATGAACAGCACAGCTGCGACCAACAGTCCCCGTTTCCGGAGGGTGTGTTCATCTGCAGAGAGAAAAATGGAGGGATACAGTCAGAGGGGCCTTCACTTTTCCTTCCCCAACATCTTCCCATGGATAACTTACCATAGAAAAAGGGGTCGTCCTCATGAGAACCTGGAGAGGCAGACAAGGAGCAAGTCAGGGTTCAGCAAAGGTTGGGGAAGTGAATGCGTGAATGGCAGCCAGGAAAAGGGGACACCTGGGTACCCTTAGAACAAAACCCAAAGTCCTCACCATGGCACACAGTCTGGCTCCCATTATCCCTCTAATCTAATTTCCTCCCCTACCCCTCACTCCCTGCACTCCATTCCTACCGGCCTCCCTTCTATTGAACATGCAGCACCTTCTCGCCTCATGGCCTTCGTGCCTGGCTATCTCCTCTATCTGGAACACACCTTCCCTAGACGTCTGCATGGCTCCCTCCTTCACTCCCTTCCCAGTGGGGTCCTCCCTGGTTTTGTATATGAAATACACATTGACTATCCCTAATCTTCAAATCCAAAATCCAAAATGTTCCAAGTCTGAAACTTTCTGACATCATTTCAGAGGTGTTTGAACCAGAGCAACTCCATCTTGAGCAGTGGCTGGGTAAAATAAGGCTGAGACCTACTGGGCTGCATTCCCCAGAGGTTAGACATTGTTAGTCACAGGATGAGACAGGAGGTCAGCACAAGATACAGGTCATAAAGGCCTTGCTGAGAAAACAGTTTGCAGTAAAGAAGCCAGTTAAAACCCACCAAAACCAAGAGGGCAGTGAGAGTGACCTCTGGTCATCCTCACAGCTCATTATACACTAGTTATAATAATACATTAGCAGGCTAAAAGGCACTCCCACCAGCGCCATGACAGTTTACAAATGCCATGGCAATGTCAGGAAGTTACCCTATATGGTATAAAAAGGAGAGGAACCCTCAGTTCCAGGAGTTGCCCACCCCTTTCCCAGAAAACTCATGAATAATCCACCCTATAAAAGAAACAACCATAAAAATAGGCAACCAGCAGCCCTTGGGGCTTCTCTGCCTATGGAGTCACCATTCTTTATTCCTTTACTTTCTTAATAAACTCTATGGACTCACTCTGAATTCTTTCTTGTGCAAGATCCAACAGCCCTTTCCTGGGGTCTGGATTAGGACCCATTTCCAGTAACAGTCTGACGTGACATTGAAAGGAAATGCCCATTGGAACATTTTGGACTTCAGATTTTTGGGTCAAGAATGCTGAACTGGTAAGCATAATGCAACTATTCTAAAATCTGAAATCTAAAAGCTTCCTGGTCCAAAGCATTTTGGATACGGAATATTCAACCTGTACTCCCCAATCACTCTCTAACCCTACTTTATTTTTCTTGATAGCAACTTAAAATCAACTGATATACAATTATGATGATTATTACTAGTTATATTCCTCTTACCACTAGAATATTCATTCCATGAGGGCAGATATTTTGTCGGACTTGTTCACCATTGTATCTCTGTCCCCTAGAGCCTAGCCTAGCACACAACAGTTACTCAGTGAATATTTGTTGAAGGAATGGATGAATGGGCTCTCTATATGACCCATGGGCATATCATTTCCATTCATTCATTGGGGGTTGACTGGGCAGGAAGTGGAGGATAAGACCACCAGGGAAAGAATCAAATTCCCTCTAGAAACAGAGCTCCCTGCTGACCCACAACTGATCTCAGATGCATGAGTAAGTCCAGCTGAAACCAGAAGAACCAGCCAGCTAAGCACAGCCTAGATTTCCAAATAGCAGAAATGAAAGCTAAATAAATTGTTATCCTTTTAAGCCACTGAGTTTTTAGGTGGTTTGTCTGCAGCAATAATTTACACCTTCATTTGTCTATTTGGACATTTATCATATGCCCACCCTCTGCCAGGCCTGAAGTCATTTACTTTCCCAGCACGTGTTTACTGAGAACTATTCTGTGCTGAGCTGCATTCCAGGTGCTGGAAATACACAGTGAACAGAAAATAGCCTGCTTCCAGTCTGGGGAGGCAGATACTGACCAGATGGCTTGACGGTCTGGGGGTGTGTCTGGACGTCTGTTCTTGGGGATGGTCTCTCAGAGAGCGTCGTGGTACCTTTGGTGGGATGAGCTGAGAGTGGCCAGATCGGTGGAGGGCAGGAGTGAGCCATGGAGGCAAAAACAATGGTTATTACTCAGAGTCTGCATCTGGAAGAAACCCCTCTCCCACATCTACATAGCTGGTGTGCAAGGTCAGGTGTCCCCCTTACTCCATACCTAGAGGTAATAAGTAATGGCAGGCCTTGAAATGCTGAAATAAGCATGTACTCCCTGCTTACCACCATCTGCCTCAATCCCCCAGGGACTCCTGACCCCTCTCCTAGGACCTCCTGGCCCACCCTATAATTCAAGAGATAAAGGAACTAAAAGGCAATGCCTGCCAAGGACTCTGGCCTGCCTACCTGGCCTGGAAATACTCATAAAACATTCTGAATATTGGCCAGGTGCAGTGGCTCATGCCTGTAATCCCAGCACTTTGGGAGTCCGAGGTGGGCAGATGACCTGAGGCCAGGAGTTCAAGAGCAGCCTGACCAACATGGTGAAACCCTGTCTCTACTAAAAATACAAAAATTAGCCAGTCGTGGTGGCACACGCCTGTTTTCCCAGGTGCTCGGGAGGCTGGGGCAGGAGAACTGCCTGAACTCGGGAGGTGGAGTTTGCAAAGAGCCAAGATTCTGCCACTGCACTCCAGTCTGGGCGACAGAGCGAGACTCCATCTCAAAAACAACAGCAACAACAAACTATTCTGAATATCACCTCTGCCCCCAGACCAAAAATACCAAAGGGTTTTTCTCTTGAAAAAAAAAAAAAATCAATACCACCAAAGAAAAGGCCTTCCCCCCGGCACTGAGAAATGCCCCCACACCACATCTGAAGCCTCCACGAGAAGCCAGCAGGCAGAGAAGCTCCCTCATGAAACCCAAGTTCCCGGGAACGATCTCAGTGCCCCACACCCTAAATAGGAACTGGCAGCCAAGGATTACAAGATGTTCCAGGAATGCATCGCCCAGAGGAAGGTATAAGCCAGATCAACGGCAGAGACAAAGACGCAGAGACCACAGGAGTGCGAAGGACAGCCATGCTGGTGTCTGGTGCTCATGCACCCTGGGGCGAGACAGTCTGGACTCAAATTCCGGTTCTGCCACTCGGCTGCATGGTCTAAGGCAAGCTGAGTAACCTCTCTGGGTCTCAGTTCCTTTTCCGGTGGGATGGGAGTAATGAGAGTTTCCACCACACAGGGTGATCACGAGCATCAAATGACTTAATACACAAGAGCTTAGCGCAATGCCCAGCATGAATAAACTCTCAGCAAAAGTCAGCCATTGCTCTTATTGCCTGCTCAGCACTCCTTCCTCCTGGAACGGCTCCTCCTTTCCTTGGCGGAGAGTCGGGGGAGACTGCCTTCTCTTCCCAGTTATAGCCCAGGCTACAGAAGGAAGCATGTGACCCCAGTCTGGTCCTTCCCTGAGACCTTTCAAATTCCAAGTAGGGATAATGACTGACAGCTAGGTACTATTGACTGAATTCTATCTGCCCCACCAAATTCCGTATGTTGAAGCCCGAAGCCCTAATGTGATGGTATTTGGAGCGACGGCCTCTGGGAGGTAATTAGGGTTAGATCAGATCATGAGGATGGAATCCTCATGATGGGACTAGTACCCTTTTAAGAAGACACCAGAAAGCTCGCTTTCAAGCTCACAAGCCCACTCACACGTGGAGAGGACACGGTGAAGACAGAGCAAGAGCGTGGCTGTCTGTGACCCAAGCCGAGCCCTCACCAGACACACCCTGCTGGCACCCTGATCTTGGACTTCCCATCTCCAGAACTGGGAGAAATGAATTCCTGTTGTTTAAGCCACCAGTCTGTGGTATCGTTACGGCACCTCAAGCAGATTAAAACCCTAGGTGAGGCCTGGAAGCTTTGAGCGAGGAGGTGACATGAGCCATTTCCTGCCTAGGTGGAAGAGAAGCAAAGATAGAGGAGGAAGAGAGGCCTGGGGGCTTTCATGCCCAGCCTCTAGGCAACCCAGAGGCTCAGCAGTGACAGCCATTTGTCCCTGATGAATTTCTGTCACATCTATCCAGGAACATGGACCAAATACATAGAGCAACTCAGGTCAGCAAAGACTCAGTAAATTAATGCAGAGGTGTGAGAACGCTTTATCAATTGAGAAGTGTGGACACGGCCCCACAGGTGCACTTTTGGACAAAATAGAAAAGTTCCCTTCTACAAGGCACTTTATTTCCATCTGTTGTAGAATTGTTTTAATAGACAGATTCCGTAAAAATAAGAGCTTTAGACGCCCGGTGCGGTGGCTCAAGCCTGTAATCCCAGCACTTTGGGAGGCCGAGGCGGGTGGATCACGAGGTCAAGAGATCGAGACCATCCTGGTCAACATGGTGAAACCCCGTCTCTACTAAAAATACAAAAAATTAGCTGGGCATGGTGGCGCGTGCCTGTAGTCCCAGCTACTCAGGAGGCTGAGGCAGGAGAATTGCCTGAACCCAGGAGGCGGAGGTTGCGGTGAGCCGAGATCGCGCCATTGCACTCCAGCCTGGGCAACAAGAGCGAAACTCCATCTCAAAAAAATAAATAAATAAATAAATAAATAAATAGAAAAAAAATAAGAGCTTTACTGCTATCACTAGAAATCTAGAACAATTATAAAGACCCACACGGGGAATGGCATGGCCTGAGAGATGGCGCTCTTGTTCAGTGCCCAGTCTGCACAACTGTACATGTCTCTCAGCCTGGGAGTGACCTACGCTACAATACTTTCCAATGGGAGGGATGTCCCTCAGATAAGGATCATCACACAGGCATTAGAGGGGATCTGTTGCCTTATCTTAGCTCAGTCTCCCTTCCCACACCTCTGGTAATACTAACTCACTTGTCCAGAGGAAAATCCCCTTTTCCCTGACTCTTGCTCTATGTGGTTCAGGCATGCCTGGCTGAGCCTCTTCTTAAGCCCCAGGGTGGGGCACAAGACTCAGGCCTGACCAATGAGAGCAGCTCATTTCTCAGGCTCTCATTGGTTCAGACATGAGCATGTGACTCCAGCTGCCAATGAGAGTCAATTCTAGGGCTCAGGCTAGAAATAATGGGAAATATTTTGTTCTTTAGCCACCAGATATGTGACCTAAAGTTAGAGCTATGCACCTCTGCCATTACAGGGGAAAAGTTAGCTGAGAATGAAGACAACAGAACCAAGAGAGGGAACAAAGCTTAAGCTCCTTGATCCAGCTATGCCTGAAGTTGCCTACTTCTGGACTTTCCAGAACTTACATAGCCAATCAGTCATGTGTGTGTGTGTGTGTTTAAGGTGAAGTTTCTATATTTTGCAACTGAAAAGCTCCTGTTCTAACATTAAGGAGATTTACAATATCCACAGGCACATTTCATGGCACCAACCCTCTGAGGAGAACTGACGGAAAGAAAACTCCGAAGCCCATCAGTTAGGGAAACACTGTACATTGCATGCTGCCCCTTGGGGATTCTTTGCTGCAAATTAGCTTAATCAAGACTCTTGGAAGTCCTGCTATAAAGAAACGTGGTTAACTTTAACTCAGCGTTCCCCAAATACCTTTCACCACAAACCAACACTTTCCTTTTTAAAAATGTATTAACAATTCCCCAAACAGGTGCGCTGAGAAACGTACTGAGGGAAATGTTGACCTATATAGAGAATTAAACAAAAACCAGAGGCTGCTGCTGTCAGCCCCACGTTCTACCTGCTTTGGTGCTTCTGGGTATCTCTGGATCTGTCACTAGAGGCTCATCCATTCCTGTAGGTTGCGGGGTCTGGGTCTGGGGTTGTGGTGTTTCTGTTCAGGTCAGAAGAGCAAGGAAGGAAGGATAAGAAAACAGTGAATCAGGGAGGCCGGGCACGGTGGCTCACGCCTGTAATCCCAGCACTTTGGGAGGCCGAGGCGGGTGGATCACGAGGTCAAGAGATCGAGACCATCCTGGTCAACATGGTGAAACCCCGTCTCTACTAAAAATACAAAAAATCAGCTGGGCGTGGTGGTGCGTGCCTGTAGTCCCAGCTACTCAGGAGGCTGAGGCAGAACTGCCTGAACCCAGGAGACGGAGGTTGCGATGAGCCGAGATCGCGCCATTGCACTCCAGCCTGGGTAATAAGAGCGAAACTCCGTCTCAAAAAAAAAAAAAAGAAAACAGTGAATCAGGCACAGGCGGTTCCATAGAACAGCAAGAGGGCATCTCCCTCCAACAGGCTGGCAAAACCCAAAGACATCAATATAGCAAGTGTCACAGTGGGGGTCGGAAGGGGGACACGCTCCCACATACTGCTGGTGGTGAGTGAGGAAATGGGTACAGCCATTAGGGAGGGCAACTTTTATTTTTACTTTTATTTATTTATATTTAAGACAGGGTCTCACTCTATGGCTTGAGCTGAAGTGCAGTGGTGCAATCATAGCTCACTGCAGCCTCGAACTCCTGGGTTCAAGTGATTCTCCTGCCTTAGCCTCCCAAGTGGCTGGGACTACAGGCACGTGCCACTATGCCTAGCTAATCTTTTTGTACTTTCCGTAGAGGATAGGTGTTGCCATGTTGCCCAGGCTGGTCTGAAACTCCTGGGCTCAAGTGATCCACCCGCCTCTGCCTCCCAAAGTGCTGGGATGACGGGCATGAGCCACCCCGCCCAGGCAGCAGGAGGGCAACTTTTAAAACAATTAAATGTTCATGTCCTTTGCCCTGTACTATCTGGGATAAAAGCACAGGCTCTGGTGCCAGGTTCCTGGTCTTCGATTCCAGCTGCGTCCCTGACTTGCTGTGAGACCTTGAACAAGTTAATCAGAGCCTCTGTTTCCTTGTCTGTATAAAATGAAGATAATGGTAGTTTCTGCCTCTGAGGGTTTGTGTGAAGGTTGAATGAGTTAACATACGTGAAATATTTAGAAACATCACCAGCACATAGTCAGTACATATTCTAAGTGTGTTTGCTCAAGGGGGAAGGGACAAGATTGCTCATCGTGGAGCTGTGTGTAGATAGAAAAAGCTAGAAACAACCAACATGTTCATCAAGAAGTGTGTGACTACAGGAGCTGTGACATGGGCACCTTGTGGAATACTAGGCAGCAGAGAAAACAAAAAGAGTCTTTATACAGTAACGTAAGAAGAATTTCAAACATACCACTGCATGAAGAAACAAAGTGAGTTGCAGGACCAGCATACCATGCCCTTGAGCTCACACACATACACGGCACACAGCCGGTGTGCTTCCGCCAGGTAACATACATGGGATGGTATAATTGGGGAACTACTTCAGTGTTCACAGTAGGGACCTCTCAGAGACAGAGGGAGAGAACGAGGATTGCAGAGGGGAGGTGACAAAGGGATTTAGTTTTGCCTACAATCGTTTTATTCTTTCCAGATAGAATGTGTTTACATACCACTGTGTCATTAAACACCGATTGAAAAAACTAGGGAGCAATTTTTCTATTTTTTTTTTTTTTTTTTGAGACAGCGTCTTGCTCTGTTGCCCAGGCTGGTGTGCAGTGGCGAGATCTCGGCTCAGTGCAACCTCTGCCTCCCGGCTCAAGTGATTCTCCCATCTCAGCCTTCCGAGTAGCTGGGACTACAGGAGTGTGCCAATGTATCCAGCTAATTTTTGTATTTTTTGTAAAGATGGGGTCTCACTGTTTTGCCCAGGCTGGCCTGCAACTCCTGAGCTCAAGCGATCTGCCCCCCTTGACCTCCCTAAAGTGCTGGGATTATAGGCGTAAACCACCGCCCCTGGCTGGGAGCACTTTTTGAATTATTCTCCAAGAAAACATTCAAAAATTACTCAAAAAATTCAAAAAAGAGATCAGAGAAAAAGATAAAAGAAAGAAATGTGACTGGCACACAGAAACTTTCTGGGGGTGTTTGCGAAGCTCTGCTCCTTGACCTGGTTGGTAGTTACATAGGCATTCAATTTAGAGTAAGTCATTATCTTGTAAATTTATGGGTTTTGTGTTTTTCTATCTGCATGTTAATTTCACAATTTCAAAAGTGTTTTGATTTTTTAAAAAAGTATTGAATAGAGTTGGCTGGCTGCCCTGCCCAAAGTGAACGAGGGCATTCAGAGCTGGGGGTAGGGACTGAAGCGGGTAACCAAAGACCTAGAGTGTCAGAGGAAGAGGGGAACTTTGTCCGCCCTTGTCCGCCCCCAACACCTGCTCCTGCGCTACTCACCACCAGCAGGCCGGGTAGGGATTGGAGGGGTGGGCTGGGCTTCTGGGTAGATTGCATCTGGAGTCCAGAAACAGGGGGTCAGGGAAAGAAAAGGAAAGAGAGAGAAGTGGACAAGGTGTATGAATGGAGGCACCAGAGACTCCCATAGCATCTCAACTTTAATGTCATAGAAATGGCTTAACTAATCCAGCCATTTGCTAACTGCTGAAATGTGCGACCCATATACCTGAAGTGAGGGTGCTTCAGGACCTCACGTCCCACAGATGTCACTACAGCTCCTTCTTTGGGATGCTGGCTGCAACCTAGCTTTCTCAAGACTCTGAGAAGTGCTGCCTAAAAAAAACATGTTTAACTCAGCTTCCCAATGCACCTGCTCTGATAACAGCCCCCAGAACTTTCTTTAAGGACCATCATTCCCTGACTCTTGGTCCACTTTATTCAGCGAGGCGGATACCAGCCCTGGTGGAGGTTGGGCCTGGGACCCAGGCCTGGGCAATCAGCTTTCTATGCCTGTGGCCACAGTGGTCAGCTCAGGGATACGACCTGAGCCTGGCCAAAGACAACTCAGTTCTGGGACATTAGCTGAACTGGGGAAGGGAAAGTCTCTTGCTGGGATTCTTAGCAGTCAGGATGAAAGCCCCAGACTTCAAGGCGCATGAGAGGAGACTCTGCCTGAAAATGAAACCAACACAGAAAAACAGAACCAAGGGGTAGAAAGAGGTTCCTGATAGCAACATTTGAGCACCTAGATCAAGCCATGCCTGAAGGTCGGTACCTATCCTTTTTTGTTACATAAATCCATAAATTCCCTTGTTTGGTCCAAGTTTGGGATTTGTGTTGCTGTTGTTATTTGCAATGATAGGATCTTGATAGAAGTGTCCCTCTTTCCTTACCTGGGGCTGGGGTCAGAACCTGAAAATCCACGATATTTGGGTCTGCTGAAGAAATGGATGTGGGCTCCTTCGGCGTCTGTCCTGGGGAATCAAGGATGAGAAGTTGGGAGGGAGCCTGGTCCTCCTCTTCCCACCACCTCCACCCTCCCCTCCCTGGTGAAACGTTGGGGGTCCTGTCTGCTGGTGGAATTGCTCAGCTTTGGCTGTATCAATCGGTAATTCTGGAAGTGTTTTCAGCTATGCTAATGCCCGAGAACTCTTCTTCTAGGCCCCCTCCAGCCCACCCCTGTGGAACGGGAGAGGCAGTTTAGTCTAGCGAGCCCAGGTGCTAGGGTCAGCCAGGTCCCTGGTTTCAAATCCTGGCCCCAACAACTTCCTTGCTGTGTGACCAGGAACAAGTGAAGTTCTTTCTGGGAATCAGTTGCCTCAGCTGCAAAGCAGGGATGATAACTGAATCTATTTCACAGGGCTAGATAGGGTAAAAGGACACGGAGCAGGGGAAGGGCCTCCCACAGTGCTTTCCAGGTAGTCAGTCCTGGATACCTCCACTGCCCCCGCCCTGGCCCTGCCTCCGTCCCCTCCAGCCTGGACGTCCCAGCAGCCTCCTCCCTGGCCTCCCTGCTCCGGTCCCTGCCTCCATAGCCTGTTCCCATCTGCAGCCAGAGGGAGCCTGGGAACACCTGAGTTTGGCTGGGGCCCACCTGGCTCAGAGCCCTGCCCTGGCGGCACCACACTCCACGTAAAAGCAAAGCCCTAGTGTGGCCCATAAGTCTCCCTCCATCTGGCCCCTGCCACTTCTCTCTTCTCTGTCATCCCACTCTGCCCCTTCTCTGCCCCTTTTGGTCCCAACCCAGCCACCCCACCTGCCTGCTATTCTTCAGACACACCAGTCAACACTCAGCCCACACACACCTGCAAGGCCCACTCCCTCATCTCCTCCAAGTGTTTGTTGGTCCAAAAGTCACCTCCTCAGTGAGGCCCTCCCTGACCACCCAGTTGAAACAATCCCCATTACCTCTACTTTTCCGCAAGCACGTATCCCCTCCTAGCACAAGGTATAATTTACTAACTTGTCTCTCCCTGCTGGAGGGTAACCTCTTGTTTTATTCACTGCTGTTTCCCCAGTGCACAGAATATCTGGCACATAGCAGGTACTCAATAAATATTGAATGAGTGCACAAAACTCATTTTATGGAGAAATGAGGGGCGCGTTAGTGGGGTGCACACTCTGGGTTCTGGGGGCAGGAAGGACAGTTGTTTTCCCAGCTCCTCCACCCATTGGCCTCTGACACAGGGCACTTCCCTTTGCTGAACCTCAGTTTCCTCATCAGTAAAATGGGCATGACAACAGACGTGACTGACTGACAGAGGCAAAGCCTAACCGAGCTAACGCACCCACACCTGCCATGCAGAAAGCATGTGCAATGGCCCCCAGCGGCTGCCGTCAACTCTTTGGACTAACCCCAGCTCAACCGCTTTGCCTAACTGTCTGATGCCTGGGAACCCAGCGATCTGCTTTTCTGAGAGCCCAGGTTTCCTGGCTGCTGAGTAGAAAACCGACACCAATCTTCTGGCCAAATCAAACTCAGCGAGTTCTTCGTGGAGGTGAAATTGGAGGATGCTCAGCAGGACAGGCCCTGGCTAGACTCACTGGAAGCAGCCACCGGGATCTGAGGTGTCCAAAGAGGGTGTAACGTCGCCCCGCCATGGGAATCCCCACTTCCTGGTGCCGGCTCAGCGGGAGGGTGACGGGGAGGGACAGAGCATCCACACTCGCCAGCCAGCCACCCACCCCGCAGCACACGGAGGTCCGGCCTGTCGTGGGGCTCTGGGGCACGGTGGAGGCCAGAGATGGGTCTTACCTCTGGTGGGGAGAATCAGGCCAACGATGGTGAGAAGACACAGGCGACCAGAGGGCGACATCTGTGGGACCAGGTGATGGTGGGGTCAGCCATGATGTCAGTGAGGCGGACCTGGGGCCGCCCCAGGGACCCTGCAGCCCCTTCCCTGCCCTGAGCAAACACCTCTGGCTTCCAGGACCCCCTACCAGGGTTGACGGCTGGCGTCAGGGGCAGGGGGAGGGTCTCAGTGGTGGAGATACCTAACCGTCACCCTGCTTCCTTCCTCTGCATGTCCCCAAAGAAAACAAGAAGCATCAGATAAAGGGGGCTCCCAGCAGCTGCAAGGGCCGGCGGGGCCTCCTGCAGCACCTCCCGGCGCCTCCCGCCGCACTTACCCCTCACTGGGACAGACACAAGGAGGGGGCTGGGGCAGCGAGTAGATAAGAGACCTCTTCCCTCCCCCCGGGGCCCGGAGCCCAGGAGTCGGCGCGGAGGGGAAGGAGGAAGAGTGAGTAACGCCTCCTGCGCTCAGGGGAAAAAGTGAGCTGGTGTCCGGGGCCGCCTTGCAGGGATGGCGCGCTGGGGAGACGAGGCACTGGTCCGAGGGGGGTGGCGGAGAGCTGGGAAGACTGAGGCAGGCTGGGGGGAGCGAGGCAGAGCGGCCCACTGCAACCCAGGAGAGGAGGCAGAGAGATGTGGGCGTGGACAGGGGCGGAGAGGCGCGGAGGGGGCCCGACCCCTGCCCACCTGAGCCCGCCCCTGGGCAGAGGGGCGGCGGACGGAGGCGGCGCGCGACAGGGACTTACATCGGAGCTGGGGGTCCCGAGCCGGCAGCCTCGTGGGGTGAGGGACGCGGCGGTGGCTGCTGCGTCCAGGCGGAGGGTGTGGCCAGGGGAGCGCGCGCGGGCGGGGACCCAGACGGGCTCAGTCATTTCCTCTTGGGTTTCCTGACTTCAGAGCCCGGGTGGGAGCAGGAGGGGGAGACGCAGAGGGCGACGGGGGCCAGGGGTGAGGGCTTCGCGGTGGGGGAGGGGGAGGACGGGGATGGGGCATGCAGGGCTGAGGTGAGTGGGCGCCTCTGAGAGAGCAGAGGGAGAAAGGGGAGGGGTCTACTCTGGGGTCGCTGGAGGAAGGGAAAGGACGAATCCGGAGGTGTTGAGGAAGAAGGGACTGGAGGGGGCAACTCGGGGCACTGGGAGAGGGGAAGGAGGAGGGGGCAACCCCGGGCACGCAAGGGAGAGCCACCCCAGGTTCCGTTCTGCACCCCTGCCCCCACCGTGCCCCACAGATGAGAACACACAGACAGAACAGGGGAAAAAACCAAATGCACATTTATTAAGCTCAAGACATGGACACCGAGGGGCCAGGGGGACGGATCTTCGGGGAGGAGACAAGGAGGCGCAGGGGGGCCATACACGGGGATGCTGGGGGCGCTGGGGCGGGGTGGACTCCCGGATCCCGGGAGCTGGAGGCCTGAGGCCCCGGGTCTGGGGTGCAGATGGGCTGGCTCTTTGGGGGGTCGTCATTGCCAAGGCCTGGGGAGGGACAGCGGGGTGCAGCGGCTCCGGCCTTGGGGTGGGTGGGGCGGCTCATTCCGGGGAGCGCTCCCGGCGCGCGGCTGGGTCCCCACCGCCTCCACCCGGTCCTCAGGCTCCCGCACTCAGGCAGGGTCGGCAGCGGAGGTTCCTCGGGCAGGTGTTACACGCCGCCGCCGCCAGGGGCTGGGGAGAGAGGGGGTTGCATGAGCCACCCGAGACGGGAAACTGCCTCCCTCCCCACAGCTCGTTGGCGCTCCATTCCCCCTCACCATTGAAGCCAGGTGACCCCCAGGGACTGTCACCCCTGAGCTAACACTGAGGAGCCATCTTGCCCCCCACATTCTAATGTCTGGTTCCCTTGGGGACACCTCGTGGCTGCTGCCACGGAGAGAAACACACCTGCCATGGGGCTGGTGTCCCCAGACCCAACCCGGGCTTTTTGGGCTGTACCCTGCCAGAAAGGGAGTCCCCTTCCACATCCCCAGTCTCCTCCTACACCCCCACCCCTTTCCTACACTCCCTGTCCTGAACATTTGGATACCACATAAGTCCCCCCATTCCCACCCACTCCAGACCATCATTCACCTGGGACAGGCCAGAAACTTGTGCAAAGTCTTCAGCTGTGCCCCAGGTACCAAGGCCACCACACACACTGGCCCAGGCATCCATAAGTGCCCTGCTCATGTTTTATATCTCATTAAATAAACATGAAACAGATCAGGTGGGGAGGCTCAGGAGGCTGAGGCAGGAGAATTCCTTGAACCCAGGAGGCAGAGTTTGCAGTGAGCCAAGATTGTGCCACTGCACTCCAGCCTGGGTGACAGAGCAAGACTCTGTCTCAAAAAATAAAATAAAAATTAGCCGGGTGTGGTGGTGTATGCCTATAGTCTTAGCTACTTGGGAGGCTGAGGCAAGAGAATCGCTTGAACCTGGGATGCAGAGGTTGTAGTGAGCTGAGATTGTGCCACTGCACTTCAGCCTGGGCGACAGAGCAAGACTCTGTGCACAGAATATCTTGAGCACATAGTAGGTGCTCAAAAAAAAAAAAATGAAACAAATTTCACA